GTTTCATAAAACTTCAAACATTTTGTTATGTGCTTTCTATAAAATATCGTTATATTTTGTAGTGATTTTTGGTGCTAGTCTCTGCGATCAATATATTGATGAGACATAAAAAAATATACTGATGATACATTAAAATTATTAAAACTATATATTTATGAAACATGAAAACATGTTATAACATGTTTTATGTTTGATGACTCCATGGCGCAGTTGCTTCGACGTGGGGGTCGCGGGTTTGATTCCCACGAGGTACAACTTTTTATGTGACCCACAAAATGTTATTTCGCAACTGGGCATTTGGCCGTTTGAAATTTATGTATATCAAACGTCCTTACAACACAAGATAATGTTATCCTAAAGTGAAGGCAATGTTACAAAAAAAACGAAGGGTGAAAAAAGTCCATCGTATCAGCTAACATTCCCTATTATATAGGCAGCAATCCTGGTCAGCGTTGTACTACAGTAGACTAATTTAATATGTAAAAGAAAAAATAAATAAAATGTTTGTACCGCGAAAGGTGCCGCGATAAATTCCACAAGCGTTACATTAATAACGCCATTTGTTCCTGGGGGTGCCTCTGTCATTTTGTAAGGAGGGTAATTCATGGCCTTCTTCCGAAATGTTTTGGGTTATCGTCACGATAAATTGCGTGAGAAAATATTGCTATGCATTATTTTTTTTTATAAGAGAAGGTGGCAAGGAGCTGGCGGTTCATCTGATGTCAAGTGATATCCGCCGCCTATGGACATTTGCAACACCCATAGGGTAGCAGATGCGTTGCCATCTTTTAATTAAGTGGGCCCAAGCTACCTCACTCATCAGACGAAACGGAAAAGTATGACACTTCCTCTTCACGCCGGTCTTGTTGTGTGGTTGTGAGGTCGTGTTACTTTCCCGAACGGACCTGCCCATTCGTGCAACAGCGAGGACTGTTGCGTGCCCCTGCCGCAGCCAATAGAGTATGTTTTTTTAAACTTGACAAAACATAACATTTTAAACTGTAATAGCGAACTGCAGAAAATAAATTGTTTCCTGAAAGAAAACATCGTTGTGTACAATTATCTTAAAGAGTAGCCTCGTTCATATATGCCAGCGGCACAGTAATCCCTCACTTCCTAGAAAAGAATTTTGTTTAAATGAAGCGCGATTCTATAGTAGTTACGTGTGTTGTATAACCGATAAAATGGAAGAAGAATGGTACTCGTACGAGTAATAATGAAACTTTTCAACCAAAACATCTTCATTGTAGGAAAACAAAAACTTCATTGTATTTTGACGAAGATGGGCCGGTCCATTTAGTATAAGAGTTCAAACGTTATTACTTTGATTAATTGAATATTAACAACTATTATAACGACAAGCAGCACTAGTGGTTATATAACCGTCCGGGAACGCAGCTGAAATCCAAGTGACCGCTGCTCCAAACGACCATGTGTCCTTTGGCTCGAGTATATAATGTCATATCCGGTATACAGTGTTGCCAACGCCAACATTCGGCCGTCCTGCATCACGCCTTCGTCCTCGAATGGCGTTGTAGTCTGGTACAAGTAACCTTCATAAAATTAACACCTTACGCTGTGACTTATCTACCTCAACTGGGATGCATATCGCCACGTTCAGAACACCTTACACTGTGGCTTATCCCTCAACTGGGATGCATATCGCCACGTTCAAAACACTTACCCTATGGCTTATCCCTCTCAACTGGGATGCATATCGCTAAGGTCCAAACACTTACCCTGTGGCTTATCCCTCACAACTGGGATGCATATCGCCACGTTCAGAGTTTTCATCGATTTATCAATATAGGTAGCTTTACCGGTTAGACCAGTCGTGTATTGCTACGTTGTCTAAGTACCAGTGATGGTGTTTACATTGAATATCTATCGCCAGTTCATGCCTTTAATTTTCCAACTACTAAAATTCTCGGTAGCTTAACCGGGTAAACCGGTTGTGTATCGCTATTTAACATTTTCTCAAATATGTTAAGTAATTAATTAACTGGAAGGTACTCACCAAAACTTTCGTTACATTTAACTAAAGGATTTTATCACCATTACGTATAGTAAGTATAAAACACACTGTTTTCTTTTACGAGGGTAGTTACTCAAGGAGAAAATATATCGTCGATTGTTTGAACAGCCAAACGCGAGTTTTCGTATTGCATCTCACTTCTGATATAAGAGTTCAAACGTTATTACTTTACGCAGCTGAAATCCAAGTGGCCGCTGCTCCATACGACCATGTGTCCTTTGGCTCGAGTAGATAACGTCATATCCGGTATACAGTGTTGCCAGCACCAACATTAGTGTCTACTAAATATATTTAATTGAATTTTAATTGAATAAACTCGAGCAACCTGAGTTCGATCCCCGGTGCCAGCACCAATGAAATTGTTAATTTTTCGTGCTGACTTATCACGTGCTCAGCGGTGAAGATAAACATCGTGAGGAAATCTATATATTTTAGAAGTAATAAAAAATATGTTTCAAAGGTAAATGAAGTCCGCCAATGTTTAATGGGGTCACGTGGTGGACTATAACCCTAATACCCTCTGTACAGGGGACACCTAGCAGTGTGTCACATATATATCAGAAAATAAGGAGCTTGAAAAGAAGGGAAAAAAATGAAAAATCATCTGAACTCGAAACGAGGTCTTCTGGTTTCCGGACCGCTCGATTTCCCACCTGAGCTATTATAACCTTGTAGATGGTGGCGAAATTTACCTTCGTATTGTAATGATATTTGTAGCAGTTTTTCATTGCCTGAAATCATAAATAAACTGACGTTTTCTAAAAATGAAACCTAGCTATTTATTTGATCTATTTATCGCCCCCGAATCCCTACGCATACTATATTTCATGAAAATCGTTAGAGCTTTTTCCCAGATTCAAATTATATATATTCAAGTATTATTGCTCATTTAAATGTTAATTTTTAATGGTATGTCTTATTTTCAAGTTATTGCCTGCACTCACTTTCGTCTGCACTTGTCAGAAAAAATTAAATAAAATATCTATTAGACTTTCACTCTGAAATTTTCAGAAGATTCCGCTAATAAAATTTTCATTAAAACTTTTTTCGTCTTCAAAAGTTTCATTAAAATCAATAACCCAATATCTAAGCATGACTATACATATTTCTCAACTTTTGTTCTGCGAATATTACACCTCCAAACTTCACATTTTTGTATTACTCTTTAATACGAATAAAATAAATTGACTAAAATTTTAAGTAATGCTACGTATTTTCTATTAAAAATTGTAAATAGTTACGTGGACGACATAAGATTTGTTGAGCGATTAAAAGAATATGAAGATAGCACGCTATTTTAAATATGTTTCTATTTTATTTTATAGAGATTTACAAAATATTTTGATTTTACTAGTTCTATATACATATGCATTTTTTTAATATTATATTATTAAGTTTTGTCTCTGTTTGCACTTATCTTTAATCACGAGATAGCAAATCATAATTTTATTTTTAAAAGAACTTTTACATGTTCATATAAAATAAAATTTACTTTTATAAGACAGAGTCCATGGAGGAGAGGAGATGGCGATATTGTTAAAGTGTCTCTTTATCTCAACAGTTTTATAGCCATAATTGTGTGTTAATTTTAAAGACTTTCTTATGTTACTTCTTTATTTTTAATAAGTACCTAACATAATGTTATTAGTATTATATCGCTCTTTATGGGCCAGTACGGTATCGAATTACACAAAACATGAAGGTCAGCACTGAAAAGCGCTGGATGGGGTTTTTGACTTCCGGCACAGTATAATGCTGAGCTGCTGACCTAATTTATCGATAATAGGGCGTATAATAAATTATTTTATTTTCTGTTTAAAATTTTATTAATTTTTCCTTCGATGTATTTTACACCTGATATATTTTTGTGCTGGTTATGTTTTGTTTTACTGTATTATGTACTAATAAAATTTTTGTTTCTTTTATTTTTGTAAAATTTAGTTTATGGTTATTTGCGTCTTTTATCTGGTAAATATTTTTTTACTGTTTTTGCTTAACGCTTAATTTCGAGCGTAAAGAAGCAATAAAAATCAAAACTTTGGATTCATTTATTACATTTATTTACATCCTGGTATCACAAAACCCGTAGTCCTAATTGACTTGGTACGTACACATTAACAATATAGTAATAAATACATGAATTTCTTATTCTAAATATTTTTATTAATGATAAAATATTTTGGCATTTTAAAGTACACTTATAAAACAAGTGCGATAAGAAATGTCCCTTATGAGTATATGGATGACTATGAATGGAAGATGTCATTTACAGTTTTTTTTTATTTCAATGTTTTATTACTCGTGTTACCATTCCATAAAAGATTTTTAGATAATTTACAGCTGATATTTGTTAATTGCTTGTTAGAGAAAAATTAGAACATGCTCTATTATAAACGTTTTCATTAAGTTTTTACATAGCTAATAATAAATGACATAATTTAATTTAGGTTCTTCTACTATACAATGAGTACCTATATTTTATATCGTTAAGTTATATACCATTTCAATAGAGTTTATGGAACAAAATGAAACGTTATAAATATTTAAAATAATGAATTTACAAGATTATTTCATTTCATATAATTTAGTAAGTCATTGTTTACTTCGTTTGCATTTTTTGAAAGTAAGCCTCCAAAATGCCAACCGGAAATCGGGCGAATAAAATGCGTATATAAATGGATTAATAGCCGAATTAAACCAGCCTAACCAAGTTAATATGTACATTAGCACTGGATTTACGTATTTACTAGATATGAACGGAGTTAGTAGATAATACAAGAAGAAAGGTAACCAACAGGCGACGAACCCACCAACAACAAGACTTAGAGTTTGAGCTGTCTTCGTCTCCCTCCTTAAGGAAGAAACTCTATTATTCTCAATATGCTCCTTTGTAGAATGTGTTCTATGACGTCCAGTGTTTTTATACTTAAAATTAGCCTTAAATGTAACATCGTTGTAAAAACTAGACTCCTTTTCTTTGCTTATTCTGTAATTTTTTGTCTGTCTGTTGCTTCTTCGCAGCGTTGAAGCAACAGGGGCACTTCGGGTCTGCTTGAGATGAACATTCGCTCTGCTGGTTTGAATTTCTCGATGGTTGCTTTGACACACTTTGCCTGAGAGATAGTTTATCAGATCCAGAATCTGATTCCGTTCTTATGCACGAGAGTTTTGATTTCTGAAAGAGATTTAACATCACCAAAGTTAGACATTCGATTAATACTATGAAATAGTATTAATCGAATGTCTGTTTTATAAATGTCTTCGGGTTCAATGGCATATTGGAAAGATCAACTGAGTTTGTTGGAATTTAGACTTAAATGTTTCTTTACCTTACTGGATTTCGTACTGCTACTGGATAGCTGGTGGTGCCTCCTTGCTACAACACACGATATCCTTGCATACACGTAGACCATTACAGCCATTGGCAAGAAGAACGAGCCCATTGCTGAGAAAACTACATAACCGGGATTTTGGTTGTATCGGCACACACCTCCTTGATTATGATCTGGCTCGTACCTGTTGAATAACATGAATGAAGAAGAAATAAGAAGAATGATCTTACACTAAATCTACTAAAAAATAAATTTATGAAAGGTCAGTTAATCGACGTTTGTCTAAAGTTAAGTAAGGATGTAGCTTTTTCAAAAGTTCACTCAAAATAACTCACTTAAACCTACCATCCAAACATCGGAGGACATGTAATAGTACCAGCTGAGATCCATACAAAAAATATCATGGTTAGGGCAAGCTTTTTTGACCGTCTTCGTCTCGAATACGTAAGGGGCCTTGTCACTGCCAAATATCGGTCCACGCTGATCGCACATAGTGATAGGATTGATGCGGTACACAGTAATATGTCCAAACTTATCCAAATGTCACAAAGTATCCAGCCAAGCTCCCATTCACCTACAACGGACAAATATATTACATATATTACACTGTATCGGAAAGGTTTTTATGAACGAAAAAATTGCCAACGTAAAAATACATTATTTTAAGATATTTTATTAAAATTAAGAAACCGACGGTTTTACTTTTATTCAAATACTCGTTGTTGATAAGCGAATACAATTAATAAAATCATAAGGCATTCTGTAGCATTATTGACGATCCGATTGGCGTGGGGAGTAGTAACCCTGCCTCTTGCGCCAGAGGGTGTGGGTTCGATCCCCACTACTGGACAAATATTGTGTGATGAACAAGTGGAAATGTTATACTTTTTCATTTTGCATTATTATGACCCGATTGGGGTAGTGACCCTGCCTCTTGCGCTAGAGGGTAAAACATTGTGTGGCGAACATAGTGTTTTTCCAGTGTCTGGTTGTTTACATATGTATAATATATATGTACAAAAGAAAAGTATGTTTAAGTATGTTTATCAGTTTTCTAGTACCCACCCATCTAGTCGCAAACTAAGTAACAAGGATAGAGAACGTTGTGTAAAAATGTGTCCGAAAAATATTTATTTATTATGTAAGAAGTTTATTCAATGCAACATTTCTAATCTTACCAGTAATGTGAACTGCTATAGCCGGTGGCATCACAAAAATGCCAACAAGGAGATCGGCTACTGCCAAGCTAGTCACAAAACAGTTGGTTACCGTCCGCAACCTCTTCGTGGTAACTACTGCGGATATTATCAACGTGTTACCTATCACTGTCACCACAATAAGTAGAAATAATATTATCACGACTGCAATTTCCAGAGTATCGTACTTATTCTCGGCACACGACCCCATGAGACCCGTTAAGTTAGTAAAATTACGGTAATTGTTGCAAGTTTCTATTATATTTTCTAACTTCTTCTCATCTACTACAGTAGTAACTTGGTAATCGCCTTTCGTAACGTTCATATTTTCTTCTCCGATGCTTCCTACATAGTGTTCGGTCTCCATTTGCTGGCTTCCGTTCCATTTCACAATTTTTTCTATAATTTCCAGATCTGTAAATGAGATCATACGACTACTCTCCTCCCACTGCTGTGTTTCGTTCACGAGCTAATAACATTGTCTGGAACAAAAGAAAAATAAACAATTAAACACGTTATTTTGATAAAATGCTTTTAATCGTGTTTGGGCCACGTGATAAGTCAGCACTTAAAATTAACAACTTCATTGGTGCCGGCACCGGGGATCGAACTCAGGTTGCTCGAGTATATTGAATTAAATTTTAACACTGAGCTATTATGGCTCTTCAATACTCAAGCTACTACATAAAAATGTTATAAGTAATTATTACCTTTTACCAGTAGTAGTAAGAATTAATATAAAGTAGCTTATGAAATGTGTTATAAAGTGTATCTAGGTGTTTCTAAACTTTTGTTTAAGGAGATTAAGAAGAAATAAATATGAATAAATATGAATTACATACTTATTAACGAAAGGTTTTATTAGTGGAAATTGATACAATATTAAATCAAAAGTATTTACGTTCTAATGAATCATGATTTTCGGTATTATTGCTTTATACTAAGAAAGCTGTATACAGTGTATTTTAATATGAAATGTTGAACTTTGCCTCACTTCCAGTCGACAAAACGGCCACAAAACCGGAGAGGCTTGGCTCTTTGTCAACACAAGTCTTTGTATTGTCTACACATGGTGGATGTACTTTGAAAAGTTGAATGTTTTGTTCTGTTTAATTAACCGAGCAAATAATGATTTGCGTCAATTAACACTAACGTATTCTGCACTAGAATCTTATATCTCGATTATAACTAATGTATGTGGTAGGTGATAGGGCCACGCAACAGTGTTCGCTGTTGCACGAATGGGCAGGTCCGTCCGGGTTAGTACCAGGACCTCACAGAAGACCGGCGTAAAGTAGAAGTGTTGTACTTCTGCGTTTCGTCTGGTGAGTGAGGTAGCCGGGACCCACATTATTAAGAGGTGGCAACGCACCGGCAACCCTACGGTTGTTGCAAATGTCCATGGGCAGGCGGTTATCACTTAACATCAGGTGAACCGCCAGCTCGTTTGCCACTTACTCACATAAAAAAATGTATGTACATTTTTATTTCAAATTGACACACTCTCGCGTTTCGATTGAACCTGTATCCTTAATGTTTCACAAGACCATCGCTTAATTCAAGTTAGTAGTAACAACTTTTTAACTAACATAACTATACCTCAATTCACGAACGTATCATAAAATTGAAATAAAGCCGTGTCTTTTACGTAAAATGAGTTCTGAAATGCCCCAAATGCGTATTTTTTATACTTCATGACTGTTCCCCGACGTGTTACTAAAGTTGACGGAAACACGCACACTGAATCACCTAGCGAATAAGAGTGTTCGCTTTTAAGAGCCCGTGCTATTTGAATTGGACTGTAATTTTCCTTTGATTGATGAAAGCAACTCACCCAAATGTCTTTAGTACTTTGTCTCGTATACGCACACTTTCGTAGATTAATGTTTGTTAATTCAGAAAAATAACCAAGTTTCCTTCGAAAGTTGAATAAATGAGTAACACCAGTCACGCAACATGCCAATCACAAGGCTCCAGCGATGCCGTGAATATAGTATTGTTAATTGTGGAGAAACTTAAAGGAAACATGGAATAAATAATTTTCACGTTGACAATGAAGGTTCTAATGAAAGTGATACGTAGATTTTATTGTCGATTTTGGAGTTAGTTAAAAATGGTTATAGAATTTTTGATGAAGGTTACCTTATTCTCTAATTGAAGGTTTTATAATTTAATTAATGTATTTATATTTGTGGCAACTTTGGAAGCGACACTATTAAAGAGCGAAGGGCTTATCGTTCAACGCGTTAGTAAACATTGTAATGGTATCCGGTGACAATTACAAATTAAATACGAATTTCATCAACTTGCCTTTGGATTCGACCAAATTAAAATATTAAGCGTAGCTTCTCGTCGTCTAATAATTGCTGCGGATTTCATTTGAACGCTACTCGTATATTCCAACCACAACCACAAGTAATACCGGATTGACAAAGCTTAGATAAGTTGACAGAATCTAAGATTACCCTCAAGGATCTATTAATCTGAAGATATATTCTTACCATTGAAAGTTGTTCCTTAGTGCATATTTTTTATGCGCGATGGTGGCAAGCAAGCTATCTGTTTACCTGATATTAAGTACTAACCGCCCCTCATGGACATTTGCAACACCGTTGGGGTTTCAGATACGTTTGCCACCTTTTAAAGAAGTAGGCCTAAGGTTAACTAATGAGCTCCCCTCCGACCAGGTTCCCGCCTTGACGTGGCGGATGGGCTTAGTAGCCGAGGCTTGGCCACTCACGGCGAAGCTAAGAGGAACCCACTCTGGGCTGGCCTGTGGTGTAAGGCCGCCCGAGAGGGCCGATTCGAGTGGGCTCATCGAGCTCATTGAGCCCACTCGGAGCGGCCCTTAGAGAAAAATTGGGCTCCGGCCACCTCACTCACCAGACGAAACGCGAAAGTATTATACTTCCACTTTACGCCGGTCTTCTGTGAGGTCGTGGTACTTACCCGGACGTGCCTGCCCACTCGTGCAACAACCGAGGCTGGTGCGTGGCCATACCAACGCAGAGACTTACTTTGTATCGGATCATTACCCACAATACCATAGAACTACTCAAACGATGAAAAATTTGTATTGATTTTCGTATGGTAAATAATGAATCGGCAAAACAACTTCCAACTTTCGAAAATACGTGACGCAAAACGTTACTCTAAACGTCCGTCAGTATAAATAATGGATCACGAGAGAATAGGGTTATGCAATTGCTGCGGTATCCTTTCCCTTAGATTGGAACAATCCATTATCCCACTTCGCCGAGACAGTAAAGATGGTTTACGTGGGGAGTTAATTAACTGTAAGCAAACTTTTTGAGGTTCCTTGCTTCATCATTTTTAATGAAACTTTGTCGTATTTAGTGTGTTAAGAAAAGGTGATTCGTTTTGATTCTTGTTCAATACTAGCCGATACTCGTGACTCCGTCTGCGCTGCTTATTGTATTAACGACTACACAACCTCACTTCCCACGACAAGAAAACATTACTGAACATGTCGTCCTTATAAAAACTTAAATAGCTTTACATTATGTATATCACAGATTTTCTTTTGTATACGGGCCAAGTGTCTGTCAAACTTAGAAGAATTCATTGAAATATATACAGCAGTTTTTATATGATGCGTTATAATATATTTCTAGAAATAAATATATGCATGGTTTAGTGTTCTTACATGAATAGCAGTATAGAAAACAATTATAAACGAACGCAATTATATTGTATTTTTATAAATAGCATATATTTAAAAATACCATAGTATTTGATATGATATTTTTAAAAATAACATATTATTCATCACTAAAGTAACGAGTTTGAATATAACAACTATAATACAGACGCGCTAAAACTGTGAGTCCGATGCCAATTTTCCGCCTGTGAAAGGCACTTCAACATTTATACTGCCTTCCATAAAGTTTTCCGTTTATTTCTGTTAGTCGCTATTTTAAGACGTGCTCGTCTAGCGCTCATATATTAAATATAAAATATATGATTTTGTGTTGCTTTGTACAGAGTTATTGTGTCTAACAAATACAAGTTTACAAAAACCTAAGAACGAGTCACGGATGATTTGCCAGATCGAAATAAGAATTATTTGTTATTTTACTTAGTTACGCATATGCTTGTATATTGTACTGTAACAGAACCAGCTAAAGACTTAGCGCATTTGCACGAATTTTCGGGCCTTACTGTGGAATTATCAAGGCCTCACAAAAGACCACCTCGAAATAGAAGTATTGTACTTTTGAAACTCGTCTAGTGAGTGAGGTGACCAACTTTTTTTAAGGTTGAAAATACACCTGCAACCCCTCTATTGTTTCCCTTGGGTGGTGATAATCTTTTTTTTTTAGCTTTACATCAGGTGAACTGACTGCTCGCTTGAAAACTACTCTTCGCGAAATAAATTATGAATCCAACAGTTCAAATAAAAGTTAATTACGTTGAAAGAAATTTAGCTAATTCGTTAAATTTCCCTCGATAATTTTTAAAACAAACTTGTATTGTTTCAGTACTAATTTAACGTATTATAAAACTGTCGGACGCGGCAAATTTCAAAAGATTAATTCGAATTTTACGCTCATGTTCATTTAATTATACAGAATTCTTTATGTAATTAAAATAGTACAGTTATTAATCAATAAAATATATATGTAATTATAGTCATTACCATTTTTAGGATTCCGTACCCAAAGGGTGAAACGGGACCCTATTACTAAGACTCCGATGTTCATCTGTCTGTCTGTCCGTCTGTCCGTCTGTCAAGAGCCTGTTTCCCATGAACCGTGATAGACAGTTGAAATTTTACAGATGATGTATTTCTATTGCCGCTGTAATAACAAATTCCCCGAAACAGCATAAAAATATTGTAGGAAGGCTCTCATACAACAGACATGGTTTTTTGCCGTTTTCATAAATAATGGTACGGAACCCTTTTATACATTTGCAAACACTGCATATTATTAAATTACACTATTTATACGCATTTATCACATTTGATAAATCACAGATAATAAGAACACT